GGTCCACGATAAAATTAATTTTCGTTTTATTAATTGGATGGATATTTTAATCAATTAATTGTGTTTTGTTAAATTGGTATATAGATATCGGCAATTCGTGTTTTAATTGTATGTACCTACCTATATTAAATGCAATTTGAATTATTTGTACAATGACCATCCTTAGGCCCTAGAATATCTTATTATTTTACACCACCAATTCGATCAAAAGTATGATATATACTGTATTAAATAATTTTTTCTATTGCAAATAGAAAATATTTACAAAATATGTTTAATAAGCAAATGTTTTGTAAAAATAAAATAAAAACAAGGCGTGGTTGCGTGATCGGGGGAAGTGTTATTCAGTGACACTTATTCAATACTTTACGAAAGTACGAACTAAGTGCTTGATGTTAAATACCTACTCGATAGTATTACAGTATCCCACTCAGCCATAGGACATCAGGATTACGTGTATTTGATTATAACCTGCGCTTAATTATTTAATTTTAACGATTATGTTAAATACGCGATAAGTTATATACCTATATATATATATACAGCCAATAATTCAATTGCACATGTATTTGACTGCACAGCGTTTGCTGTAGGTGAATAATACACTGTCGTATGATATCACGTAGTTAAATGTAATATATTATTTTGGTTTTCAGGTCCATGTGGTTGACAAAAGTGTGGAGCGCCGCCGCTGCCGTCGTCAGATGACCATGCGCCGGTCGGGTCGTTGTCTCGGGTTCGCATTGCGTCAGTGGTGCTAAGTCGAACCGCAGACGACAGTAACGCCGTAACCGTTTAATAACGTGTACGTGCGCTCTCTCGACCAAAATAAATATATATTACCGTGGACGACGTCAACACGCCGATCGTCGTCGAATAATAATAACACCACCGCTGTTAATGTTAAACCCAATTGTGGGTGACAAAATACTCGTAATCGCGTACAATATTCGCCCAACATAAGGTTTCGAGTTTTCTATTTTTTTACACGTTCGATTAACAAAAAAATTAGTTCGATGTGAAACGTTTTCGCGGACTACTGTACACAATGAAAGGAGCATTATTCGTGGTCGGCCTACTGCTGATCATTGCTCAGTGGTGGGTACCCACGAACGCAGGATGGCAAGAGAACGTGCGACCGAAAATATCGGCTGTTCGAAGTAAGTTTCGTTTTCGTTTTTTGTTTTTTTGCTCTCTCTCTCTCTCTCTTTCTCTCTCTTTTGGTTAGGGTTCAATTAACGGATAATTCATCGGACCCTGCACGAGGGAAATKTTGCCCTTTTGGCCAGATGTAATTTCAGAAGGGGTGCTCTATACGACAGGGGTTCCGATATGTAGAGTATAGACTCAATGGGCAATGGATGAATCGCACGCAATCCTATATTTTTGCCAGGGGGGTAGCGAGTTTTAACCAGTGATTGATAAAAATGAAATGATGAATCATTCGAATTTTAAACCCAAAAATATTGTATAGTGTCTAGTTAGTAGTCAAATTCTGACTTGTATATCATATTATGTATAGGTATAGTATGTATCGAATCGTAAAACAAAAATTATCTCGTTTTCGTTGTAATAAATAAATTGTTAGGTAATAAAATAATATATTAAATTAAATAGTTCTTTTCTTGGCTTATTAGATTTATATAAATTACATATTGATTCATTATTTAGATCAAAACTAATTTTATTTATATTTTATATAAATACCCACATAAAATAATTTATTTAATTTMATGTAATTAAATGATTTGTATTTAACGAATACGTTACATATTATCATGAAGAAATGTATATAAAACTATAATAGGTACTTAATAATATCGTAACTATCTTTTATAGATAATTTTAATAATTTGGATCTTTGAAAAAGGAATGAATTACTGGGTACTTACTATAGTCGATCACTAATCGACGCTGATAAAGTGATAATGAACAAATTCGTAGAACATCTGTYTAGATTATTTTAGGTCCTATTTTTGATTAACTGTGTTGTATRMACATTAATTTTTTTCACATCAAATAAGTAGTTTTTCTATAATGTAAAAATTAATTTACACAGTTTTTAATGTTTGTTTCATTTCATAAACATATGTTTTAATTTTTTTTAGATTTTATCTTTCTTTAT